AGAACAGGTTAGGGATAGATCGTCATGGAGAAAATCCATCTATGTGGGTGCTAGGAGTTGAAAATGACTTGATGACACATAATCAATCAAACATCTATTGCTAGAAGAGGAAGGTGCTGAAGTAATATGTATCTGACCATGTGACCAGGAGACATGTTCTGTCTGAGTTCTGCCAGCTGGCAAGGGAAATATATCCAGAGCATCTGTCCCCCAACATCTTCCTCTTGGGTGGGAAAGTACATTCCCTCCCTTCCAAATATATTTCTTTTGGTAGGGAAAACAATTATTTGGCATGTGTTTTAGAAACAGCTTCTAATGTCTTCTTGTGAAGAAGGATCAGGTAAATACTCAAGGCATTTCTGTCCTGTTTGCCAGCATGTAAATCCACACATAACTGCCAGCAACTCATAAAGTAAATTCACTCTGTATTAGTGAATTAACAAAATCTGGTGGAACAGGTATCTGAAGAAAGACATGCTTATCCCAGGTCATCAAGCAAGGACATTAAGAGAGGTAACTTTGACATCTTATAGTTAAGGAATGTCTCATGGAAATATTTCAAAATCAAGTGCCTTTTCAGTACATGTAATGAGAATTTGAACAAAGCATTGTTTCCTGGCATTAAACTGCTTATTCATTTTTATGTGACATTTTAGATTTCTCCATGTTTGACTGTTATTTCAAAATTTACGCAACTTACATTTTTTTTGTTAAATGCACTCTCATCAAGTTTTTCTACTGCAAGGATGTTTTTGACTGGAATGGTGAATATAGGTTCTTTATCTGAATGAACAACAACAAAAAAAGCAAATACTTTAACTAGAAATAAAACCTTAACTGTTTAAGATAACAAAAAGCATAAATACCTGGTGAAACACATTATATATGACCCTATTAGTCTTTCGTAGAGCCATGGTTCGAAGACCAGGATGGCAAAGTATTTGGCCAGGATGGTTAACTATTCTGCTGGGAGAGTTTCTATTATGCGCAGCCTCCACTATGTGCATGAGTATGACTGTGATTCATTATTATGGTTTTATATTGTTTTTGTGGATTTTTACAGGTTTTGATTTTTGATGTATGCTACCCAGAGTCCTAAACTACAAACTGTACAGCTTTACAAATCCCATAAATGAATGAATGAATATTCCTGTAGGAAGCAGAATCCAATATTCTGATATTACATCTTCTACCTGTCACAAAAGTATACATTTGTCTGCACTGTCCTGGTTAACCCACATATACAAGCCCAATGGGCAAATAGTTTTGGGAACTTTGTACATTTTGAACAATTATGTAATTAAAAACATGAAAGAGTACTTTTACTGCTTTGTTTTATACAAATAAACGAATACAATATTCTAATTAAACTCTTAACCAGTGGAATTGAAGAACACAATCAGTGCAATACCAACAGACCATGCTCTGTAACTTGAAATTTTAAAATAAAAAAGGAGCAATACCTTGTTGCTTATGATAAGTGAGTTCTCTACTTGTAAGGCAGAACCAACGCTTCTTGAAATTCTTTTTTCCAATACGAGTTCTTCCTTGTGCTCTTTTGAACATCTCCCTGTGAAACAAACACGAGCATTTTTCACAGGTATTTTCAAAATCTTTCTAATAGGCTATCCAGATGCATTCATTTACAAGTTAGAATAATGGATTCAACTCCTTATCTTACAACAAATCAGCCGTGTCCAAAACAAAATACTATTTAGGACTGCATTCTCTGATTCAGCATGAAGTCATACTAAACTAAATGTCCTGCAATTTGTTTCCTATGCTAATGCGTTTTTCTTTCTTCCCCTCTTTTGTATGTGCTCTTCTTTTTCCCTCCACCTCTTTTTCTCCCCCCCTCTCAGTTTTTCTGCTTTCTATTCTCTTTTTATGAGAGAGGTGTCATGTAAAAACTGGGATACAGGGCTCGTCTAATCTTTTATGCTAGCTATGAACCTCTGGCAATGTTTAAAATTTTTTCCTGATGTCAAGAAAATTGTCTTGGAATTTTGTAAATGTTTCCTGCTTTATACAGCAAATAATAGTAAAATTACTAATCATACATTGTTCTAGTTTATATCTGTGGTCTTTGACTATATTCAGTTTTCAGTAATATTACTAGATCTAGGGTCCCCAACTATTATTTACTGTATAAAGCAGGAAACATTTACAAAATTCCAAGACAATTTTCTTGACACATTTTCCTCTATTGTATAAATGTACACCCTTATACAGATTGGTCCCATTTATGAATAACTTCAGAGAATACTAAACTATAGTAAGGTCAACAACGTAATACTCACACCATCTCCAAATATTGTTCACAAAATTCTTCAAAACACAGCTGAAATCATGCAAGGCTGTAATTTTTAAACTACTTAATTACTTGTTAATTTTTATTTTCTGGCCTTCATATCATTGAGCAACATAATAATAGCAATTAGCACTTGAAAAGTTTGCCTATACTTGACTTACAGTTATGGTAAAAGGGTAGGTGATGTATATAATATATAATAAACTAGCCTCATCATGCAATTTTGCACTGAGCAGAAGGAAGAGCAATCTGGGTACAATGGTCATGGGAACAAGATATTTTATATTTAGGTCAATAGGGATTCTTACAGAAAGCCCAAATTTTAACACTTAGGGCAACTTCTTCAAAGAAAGTGGACACTTAAGTAGTTGTGAAAGACCAGAATTCTGCTTGGAACTAGTCAAAGTGACACATAACAAAGATATATTAAAAAAAAAATCACTTCTCAACACACTGTACTTTGTATTAAGTTACCCTTCTTTTAGATGCACTGGCTCACTCATGACACTTGGCTCTTTACTTTCAGTGGAGGACACTTCATCTAAAAACTGAGTATGGAGAATATATTAGAATAATAGGAATTATTTTCCCATTCTTACCCAGAACCTTAAAAATTAGCAAAGATACAGAACATTAAAATACACTTATTGTTATGTTAAACACATGTTTCAATGGTTTTAAGTTGTTCTATTTTTTCCTTTGTATTTGTGATGTAAACATGATACTGTATTTTTATTTTTAAAACATTCCTTCCAATTATTTTACTAAAACAAGTGGAGTTTAAATGTAACATACAGAGGCCTGTGCTAGACAGCCTGGATTTAATCTGTGTCTCACAGAGAAAGGTAAATGTGGTAAAACTTTCTGAGGTTTTGCAGGAAAATCAGGAAAACACATTTTTTAAGAAAGCCAAATATTATGTATAAAGGAAACAATACCTTTTTGACTATTTCAATGTATTCCTCTTCTTGAAACATTTTGAAAAATTCACACATAAACGTCTCCTTGAAGCTTGACTAAAAATAGAAAATAGATAGAAGTAAATCTTAACAGAGACATGTCAGTAGACAAAAGTAGTTTCAGTGAGATACTTACTAGCTTGCTTTTGGACAAACTTCCCCAGCTTCCCAGTGTCTGAATTGCTTTTGATATAAGAGTTAATGTTCTAGACGTCTGTGTATCCTAAAAGAGGCATTTTAAAGAAACAAATTCAATATGATAGAAGTTCAACTTGGCTGCATAATAGGGTCACCAAATGTGCTGCATCTGGTGACAAACTATTACAATGAAACAGGCAGACACACCAGCATATCAACCATACATATGTGACAACAGAGTTTTCACGGGCATTCATATAAGCCTTGTGATACTGAAACAGGAATTGTTTTTCTTCAAATATAAAGAGGTGGTCCTAACTGTACTGCACAGTCAAGGGCCTTACATCCAGGGTAATTCTCTCTAAAGAAATAAGAAGTCTTTGGCAATGTGTTCTGGAAAGTTCCTCAATCCTTTGGAGAAGATTTTCAGGGAAGAAAAAAGAACATATAGAAAATAGCCTTTCACCACCTACTATTAATTAGTGGGCAGAGAACGCTTTAGTTCTATAAGTCTGTAATTCCATACCTTTACAAGTTTAAGTTAATCCTTTAGTAAATGAAACATAATACATAATACATTTCAATTTTACCATTAATGAAGAATGAGAACTGAGATCAGAAAGTGAAAATGAATTGATAGGCATGGCGCAAAAAAAAAAAAAAGTGCTATGTAGTAGTTAAATGTTGGAGTGGCACTGGCAAGATCGAGGTTCAAGTCCACCCTCAGCCATGGAATCTCACTAGGTGACTTTTGGCCAGGCACTCTCTAAGCCCAGCCTACCTCACTAGGTGCTTGTTGTGCTCTCAAATCTTTAACCAAGACCAAAGCTATTATTATTGGAGGAAAACCAAATCAGGAATTGGCCAAACACAACAGAGATATTTTTTTCCTGCAAAACTATATGATAAAGATACATGTGGGGTTTTTTGCCTATATCCTTAGTATTTGGAATCTATCCTGATATCAAAGATTATGGATATTTAGGCCTGGAGACTAACTAAAAGCAACACTGGGAGGAGAAATCTATACCTGATTGCAGCAAAGAACTATTGATTTGTGTTGTTTGTAAACATCTGAATTAATCTTTTTTTTCAATAAAGGGGCTTTATTAAAGGCTTTTGAGCAATATAGTCAATATTAAATCAACTAAAAAGGTTAATTTTTTCAACAAACTGAATTATACAAGCCATGACCTAGTATGATTTTTTTTTTTTTTGAGTTAGTGTTGACTCCTGGCAACTACTTGGACTAGTCCCTGCAGTTCTCTTGGCAAGATTTTTGGAAGTGGTTTGCCACTGCCTTCTTTCTAGGGCTGCAAGACAATGAATGGCCCAAGGTTACCCAGCTGGCTTCATGCCTAAGGTGGGACTAGAACTCATAGTTTCATGGTTTCTAGCCTGGTGCCTTAACCATTACACCAGACTGGCTCTCCAGTATGTGTGTTCAAATCAAATCTTTATTACAGTCACAGACTAGCATAAGTATGTGCGTTAGTTTTTCCTAATTTTACTGAAAGCAGGAAATATATCCCGAAATGTTAAGTGATTAGATTCCTACTAGCCAAATATTTAATTTGGTTTTAGTCATATAAGTTTCTAATGGCAAGTATTTTCAACATATGGAAATGTCCCAGAATGCTTTACTGTTTGATAACTGATCAGTTTTTTTTTTTAAGATGTTAAATGTTCTCCATGCTCACTCAGCTCTCTGGTTATAAGTTTATCTCTGCATACATCCTTCTCACTAAGCTTACCTACTGGTTTGAACATAACATTATCAAAACTTACTGGATGATGAGGTCGTAAATGGAAAGTATGAGGCGATACTACAGCTACAGCAAAGAAACGAAGGAACACAAAGCTGCTCACTGCAGAGTACTGTACATGAGGGTCATCTGCAGAGAAAAACCATGAAATATGAAATGTACAACTTAGCAGAAAATGAAGATAGTGAAAAACCTTAGTAGGGCGTCAGTAGAAAAATGGTTATTCTTCTTCTGCAAAATAGAAAAGTAGCAAGTAGTGTGAAATGAAAGTGCAGTTATGATGCAACATGTATGGCCATGAGTTATTGGGCACATATCAGAATTGTTAGAGTTTATTTGATGTTACATGCTAATTATAGTAAACTTAGGATTGTGCCCCTTCCTCTTTCTCTGTCACAGGTGTGAATGAAATTGCAAGTTTCCACTTCTGTATTTACTTAGCAATGGGCTATTGTTATGATTAATCTTAACTATGCAAAGATACTTCGAAAGACACAGTTTTAAGTTTGATATGTTTCCCTAAACCACAGTTAACACTAGCAAAAATCTGTTCATTGGCCTGCCTGTTTCCTCTTAGTTTAGAAATAAAGGTAGAGATGAATTTAGGCACCTGAGGCTGGTGTATGCAATAGTCAACTATTATATTAAATATATTTTCCTATGACTGTTTTACTCCCTATAGGGAGGCGATATGACTTATTTTTCTGTAATATAGCAGGAAAAGGCAATGTAGTGAACTCTAGAAGTTTTAGCTTATAATTTTCCTCAGCCTCAACCTGCATATCCAGTGACAGAATATTATAGCAGTTGTAGTCCAAAACCACTATTGCCTATCCCTTCAGTATAATATCAGTGTGGAACACAGGTACAATTGCTTGCTATTAACAAATGTGTATCAACAGAAAGCAGGCAGTATCTACAACTGGTATTTTAACAATTCACATTTCCCTCTCTTTAGAATGCTATAGAACCTATTTTTGGTAACATTCTCATGGAATTAGACCCTTTATTCAGGCCATATATCATATTGTCATTTTGAGACACTGACACACTTACTAGGAAATCTTTCAGCAGCCAAGCGCCTCAGAGAACATAACACATCACACATTAATGTTGGGCAACTTATACTTGATTGTACAACTGTACTGAAAACTTTGTCAACATAGTAGCGAAGATTTTCCTGTACAGACAAATAATTTCAGAAAGTTAGCATCTTTTATATTGTTTACCAAATTCATTTTATCAATGAAAAAAATCTCTTCAACAAATTTGCATACATACTTACCATCCCAGCATTCAGTGGCTTTTTTAAAAGAATAAATGCACATACTCTATGTGTGTGCATTTGCAATACTCTAAAAAGGCCCTCCAAATTTTCTCTCTCTCTCTCTCTCTCTTCCCCACACATAAAGTACTATTATCACTTTATGTCAGCCTTACCAGGCAGACCAGACAGGAAACACGACCAGATAAACTAATTCTACTTTATTGTAAAGCTACATTAACAGAAACTTGCAAGTCTGAAAGTACAATTCTCCCGCTTCATCTTTACAGACCAAGAACTTAGGCAGGGTCCCTTCTGAGCCTATGCTGTCTCTTATCTGACCGTTCCCTAGGTAGCATCTCTTCCCACCATCTCCCAAGGTCTTTCCTGCATACCATGACACTTTACTAATAATGTCACTCAGATTTGTTGAAGCTTTGACCCCACATGGGCAATCCTTGGTGGTGATTGGGGCAAGCTTCTGTGATGTTAACTGGGATTCCTCCTGGTTTGTGACCTTGAGGGAAGTTGATATGATGCTTATGCTGTTGTCTGCCACCTGAATCTGGGAGATTGTCAATAGTTCTTTATGGGAAGGGGAGTTCCTTGAAGTCTTGCAAGTTATTGTGGTGTGCTCCCTTCTGAAGAGGCTGGCCCTGGACCCAGGGGTCTTAGCCAACTACCATCTGGTCTCCAACATTTCCTCATTGTTCTCAAGATAGTGGTGGCAGACCAGCTTCACAATGCCCTAGATGAAACAGATTATTTGGACCCTTTTCAATTGGACTTCAGGCTTGGATATGGGAGAGGGAGGGCACTGGTTGCCCTCTTGGGCGAGCTGGTTTGGAACTCTAAGGAGGGGTAGTGCACTTTTCCTCGTTGTCTCACACCTTTTGTTGGCTTCTGATACTATCAACCATGGAATCTTATTGGATTGCCTATGGGGGTTGGGAACTGGTGGTTCCAGTCAGTGAGGGCAGGAGGTAGGAGAGGTTGGCTTGATGGCCTCTGATATGTGGAGTGTCACAGGGGTTGGTCCTCTCTGCCTTGCTCTTTAACATCTATATGAAGTCAGCGAGTGAGGTTATCCAATGGCCCAGTTACAGTATCGTTAATATGCTGATGACACTCAACTTTACACTGCCATTCTGAGCCACAGAGGAGATGCTGTTGACATCCTCTCTTGGTTCCTGAAGACTATTGTATGTTTGGATCAGAGAGAACAGATTGAAACTGAACCCCAAGTAAGACAGAGTTACTATTTGTACAACGGGGTCTTCTATTGACACCAGCATTGGCAGGCATTATCCACAAGAGAGCAGGTTTGCAGTTGGGGGGGGCTTCTAAACTCACAGATCCTTCTAGAACAGGTGGAGAACGTGGCTAGGGGCCATTGCTCAGCTGTGGCTGGTGTGCCAACTGCAACATGACCTGGTGCAGGAAAACCTGGCTATGGTAACTCATGCCCTCATCTTCATGTGGCTGGATTATTCCAATAAACTTTATGTAGGGTTGCCCTTAATGACTATTCAGAAGCTGCAACTGGTCCAGAATGTGGTGGCCTGCATACACACCTGCTCCTAGCGATGGAAAATAATACTCCAATTTCATGGGTCCTGCATCGGCTGCTGTTTCTAGATATAATTTAAGGTACTGGTGTGGACTATAAAGCCCTGCATGACTTGGCATCTTAGTACTTGCAGGACTGATTGCTCCAAACAGAATTGGCCTGACTTATAAATCTTGTAGGTGGTAGCTGCTGGTGGTTCTGCACTTTTGGGAGGTGAAGGAGCTCAAAGCTAAATGCTGCTCTTCAGTGGTGGCACCATTGTTTTGGAATGGAATCACCTCTGAGATCAGATTCACCGCTTTTAGAAAATTATGGACAACCAGATGATTTTGGAGGGTTTTTTTATTTAATGCATGTTGTCATTACTATTTTTATTATTTTATGGTGGCATTCCTTGTTTTTGTTGGGCTTTTATTACTGTATTTATTGTGGATGTTTAATTGCTGTCATAGTGTCAATGTATAAACTGAAAATCACTTAAACAATGTATAAACTGAAAATCACTTGATTGTGTCCAAATCCACTTTTCATTCCCAGTACTGATAATATGGACAAACACAGCACTGTATTTTAAATTCAGTCAGTGGTATCCATTAGCTAAAAAAGAGCTCACATGTCAAGTACAGAAAAGCTTACTATAGTTAATATTAATGCATAGCACTTTTCAGATACAAAGTGGCTTATAATCTGACTATCATTAATATAGTTAAAATTTCCATTTTCTTAACAGTAGACTAAGCAGTAGCAGCTTTCAATGACAAGGTCTGATTTCAAGTGTGCCATGATACATACCAAATATTAAATCTTGTTCTGCAGTTGTTTTTAATTATACTGAGTACAGTGAGTTCTACATAATGAAATTACAGAGCAGAATATAGGCAAAACCATAAGAGAAAGAAAAAGTGCTCAGATTCTCAATATATTTCCTTGTTACTGAAATTATTGTGGACTGTTACATTCTAGAAAATGCTTAGTAGTTACAAGCTCCATAAATATAAATGGGGAAAAAAACTCCACAAAACTTTTAGCATACCTTGTGCATTTCTACATTATCTGCTTCTTTCAGTTTCAGGGGATCAATTTCACAAGGTTTAGGATTCTCACATATCTGAAATAAGATTAAAGTTTGCAGCATAATTATATACCTGTCTACACAGAAGTGAGTTCAGTTAGATTTGTTCTCAGGTAAGTTAGAAGAATAAAGCTTTTATTAGTTATAAAAGGACAATTAATAATACTTAACAATGTTTTCTGCGAAGAGAGATTCCCTGATGCTGGGAAAGATTGAAGGCAAAAGGAGAAGAGGACGGCAGAGGATGAGATGGTTAGATAGCATCACT